GCACTTCCCCAAAGGCCCCACCTCTCGGGGCGTTTTGCCTTGTTTCCAACATAATAATTTTGGAAGGAACCACAAGCAAACCATAGAAAAAGCTGGAGAATGCCTATCATGGGGTGTTTCACTTGTCCCCAAAGGGTCTCCTTCAAGTTGTTAAAGGATGCTGGAATCACACAGGCACTTTTCACCCTGACCTATAGGAGAGACTTTCCAGGGTCTGCCGAACAGGTCTTTGGACCCGTGTCTTTGAAGCAGGAGTTACAACCTTCCCACATTTCTCTCCTCCCTGGACTTCTCTGCAAAAGAAGTTTTGGAGAAAGCAAAAGAATGATGGATGAAAGAGAACTATATGTGGGTTTTTAAGTAAATAATTTCACACAATTCCATACATGATTGTAATTTCTTACAGAAAAGGAGAAAGATAAATGAGAGAGATATAGAGATAGATAGATAGATACATAGATACATAGATAGATAAAAGAGAGAGAAGACAGAATTGACCATTCTCCATCTTCCTCATTTCTACACTTTTTACACCTCCTAAGAGGGCTTTGCATGCGTTTTCTCTTCAGTGTATGGCAAGAGAAGTCCATTTCTCTCACACCACCATTGCATAATAACATGCTCCACGTAGCTAATTCATGCTGATTAACCACCTGGGTGCCTTGCTGTTTATTGGACTTTCTGGGTCAGCTGGTCTTGGTGTTGAGTACTCAGTAGAGTGCCTTCTTCATAGAATGCTTACAGTATGCCTGCCCTAGCCAGGTGTGGGGATTCTCAGGTGAGTGATAGGACTTTCTGTGTCTGGGAAGTTTTCATTTGTGAGTCTGAGCTAAGGAGAGGCAGGGAAGGTGATGACTTAGAGGAGGCAGTCCGTAGATAGTCTCTGACTGACTTCAGAATTGAAGTTACAGTTATGCCCACACAGGCATCAGAGTTCCCTGAACGAGTCACAGGCAACTAATTGAACTCCAGAGTTCTGCATCAACCTATAGGGTTGGAACATGGGTTGTATTTGATCTGTTTTAGCTCAGGAATGTTCTTCCACCCTCTATGTAGGTCTCAGGTCTCTGATCTTCACTGAGAGGAAATTTGAACTGACCGATTAAATAAAGATACCTCTGCTATTGGTAAAATAAATGTTTTAGCTACCCATTTGGAGAATTTTGCTAACCACCGTTATCTGTAGAAGCTTTATTAGAAATGAAGCACAAAACACCTTAGGACTTCAGAAGAGATGCAGAGCTCTCCTTTGTCTCTTTCTAGCAAGGTACCAGACAGTCATCTTACTCCTGCATCCACAGATCTATCATAGCATCATTACTGTTGCAGAGTGTATGTGGATGCACTCACTGGGTGTCTGGATGGGGATGGACTTTTGTGTCTGGCTTTTTAAAAACTTAAGATTCACTTACTTTAGTAGTTATTTATTTGTTGGCATAAAGATTTGATCATCCATTCCAGGGTCATTTCTGGAATATTTTGTTTGTTTGTTTATTAATATGAAGAAAGGTGCTATGAATATTCAAGTAGAGTGTTATTTACAGAGGCAAGGTTTTTGTTCTGTGGGGACCTGAGTGCAGACTACATCTTAATGGCTCCATAGTGTGGAAATAGTGGCTTTAACGCCATGGTGTGTTGCTTCTTTGAGGCTGTGTGTTGCTTCTGGTAACTATTTCACAAAGTATCACTTGGCTACATTTTGAGTGAAAATTCGGAGAAAGGATGGCTCTTCATTTCACTGTGTATGTTAACAATAGCACTGCCTGTCAAGTACCAACCACTAGACACCGACTGAGAATAATTGACTCCCTAGAGTACACAAAACAAAACCTATCAGTATACATAAGGGCGTATTATAAACATGTCAGGAAACAAGCAAACAGGTGTAAGACCCCACGGAGCACAGCAAACTGAGGCAGACCAGCACCTTCACCGTGACCCTCACAGTGACCGTCACCTGACTACCTGGTATATAGTCAAGAGAAGGACAGAGGACTTCTGACTTCCCTCAGGGCTTCGGCACAGCCTGCTCTCCACTGCTGACACAGCCCACTTATCCGTTGTCTCATCTGTTTCAATCCTGGGTTTTACCCTCATGGTCCTGTTCCTTGTATCACGGTTTCAACTTAGTCCTGTGGCCCAGGACCCAGCCCCATGGCCCTGTAGCTGCTCCGATTCCCTAGAAGCTCTCTAGGTGGTTCTTTATTACCTTACCCACCCCACCCTCTCCTCACATCTGTATGAGCATCTGCCCGTGCCTCTTTTACTCCTTGAACTCTGGTGGGGAGCCACGTCTTTAACTTTTGTGTAACTTTCATGGATGTATCTACACACAAACACATGCATACATATGTGAGTGTGGGTGTGCATTAGTTTCTGGAATAGTGTGTTTACCACGGGGCTAAATACCCACAAGTGGAATTGCTGGGTCAAAGGGCACATGTATGCTCAAGTCCACAGAAGTTAAACTACAGTGCTCTGAAGTGGGAGGACCATTGAACAGCTGGGAGTTGTGTTCTAACTTGAGTGTGAGTGGGTGTCTGTTCTGAGAGCAGTTTGCCCAACCAATTTCAACTCAGACTTGTTTAGTACCTCATGGAGTGCCTTTCACATGGTTGGGCCTTGCTGATGTCGTGGGCTGTTTATTTTACGGAGCGGGAGCTGTGGGTCAGGGTCAGCTGGGTAGCACAGGCATAGGCCGCCAGTGTGCACCTGGCTCTGGCTGTGGGATAAAGAAGGTGTGCACTCACTTGGTCTTTGTCTTTTGGGTGACACACATGGAGTTTCCTGCAGTGCTGGACTGTCCTTATCACTCACAAGGAACTCCCTTTGATCTTCCCAGGTTATGCTAATGAGCTGTGTCATGGTGGGCCCTAGAGAAGATCAGGATGGGAGCTGGCCAGATTTAGTCTTATCCACTGACCGTTCAGGTGGACACATAACCAAAGGGGTTAACAATTTTTTTAAATAAAGAATTTAGTTTTATAATTTC